GAATTTGGTGAGCAAGGCCTTGTGCTGCCTCTGGGTTTGGAGGAACCACTGTGCTCGCCCGGATTTCCTCACTCCTGCACGCATTCTTGTGGTGTCTGGGAAGCATTTGCATTGCTAAACACCCGCTCCGAAGCTCAGCTGGTTTTCTTTGGGAGTAGCTCTCTGGTAAGCCAGATCCCTTTTTCTCTTTTGTTTTCTTAACGGAGCACCTTAGAGTTGTGATTTTTTGGTCTTTCCAAGCATAAGGTTTGGTGTAGGGTACTGGGAGGTGCTCTGGGACTGGGACTGGGTGCAGGACTGGCAAGACGTTTGCTAAGCTCTTCTGGCCCATCCGTCCCTACCATGATGCCTTGGACCACACTCGGATGCAGCTGTCCCCAGCTGCGGGCACGGGCTGCCCTGGGGACCGCGGTGCTGGGGGGGGGCTGGATGTGCCGTGCATTGGGATGCCAGCACGCACTGCCTGTTATTGACCACCTCTCTCCTTCTGCTTCCAGAGCTGGCGTACGACCTGGATATGGATGATGTCTCTGCAAACAAGCAGCTTCTGAATCAGCAAAGCAAAGACAGCGCCACGGTCCCCAGCAGCGACCCCGGGAGCGCAGCCCCCCACCCCAGCCCTGCCACTGCTGTCTCCCTAAAAAAAATCCTCCTCCTGCGGGGCCACTGGCCGTAAGCAGCGCCAGTGGCATCACTCAGTGGCTCTCCATGCCTTTTTTTAATGAGGAAGACATTTGGAACCTCTCCCAGAATATATGCACATTTCCAAAGACAGGACAAATGACTTCAGTTGGTTTTATAGAAGAATATGGTACCTTCACACACAAAAAAACCAACCTGAAAAAGCATTTGTTCATGGTAAACTAGTAAATACATAACAGTGCTTTTTAAAGATAATCCTGTTTAATATAAGAATGTTGATATTAAATTGTGTTCTTCGCAGTTTTTCAAGACTGAGGTCTCCCTTGCTGTTAAGTTGAAGACCATTTTTCATCCTGAGTTGTTCGAGTGTGCTTGGGGTACAGAAGACCTATGATTTACGAAATACACTTGGCAAGTATCAGACCCCTGATCCTACTTGACTTAATACAGGTTTTGTCTGTAGTTCAAGCAGTTTTTGTACTTACTTCAAATTTGAGGCTCAACCCTAGGAATCTGGCCAGGCACATAATACGGAGGGCGTGTGAAGACAGGGGAGAGAGAAGGTCAAACATACGGCGGGAGGAAAGATGCTGCAGAAGAGGAGTTGTCCTGCACTGGGATTGTGGTGGAGGCGTGCTCCCATGGGCACAAAGCGCACTGGCATCGTGGCAAGTTCACAGAATCACACAGAATCACAGAATGGTAGGGGTTGGAAGGGACCTCTGTGGGTCATCTAGTCCAACCCCAAAGTTGCAGGTGGTTTTGCTGCTCGCCTCCCAGCCGGGTCCTGCGAAGCCCTTCGGTGCAGGCAGGCAGTCCCCTCTGGCATCCCTGTGGCCCTTGCAATCCCCTGGTTTTATTCTTCAGAAGCGAAGCACCTCCTTTCCCACGGGAAATCTGCAAACACAGCGTCAGCCAAAGGACAGACGGCGTGGATGTACATGCCGCGCTTTACGGGGATGAATAACGGGCATCCAACGCGTTGTGCTGTGAGGGAGGAAAAGAAAAGGATTTGCAGGAGCCTGGGGCAGATGAGACTTACTCACATGTTTCTTTGCATGTTACTTTACTTAAGCTATCTCTAAAATAAAGGTCGGTTGCTCTATAAACGGTGCCCTTGGAAGCAGCCTCACGTGTGTGTGATGCTCTGCCTTCTTCCTGGAATGGGCAGCCTGGCAAGGCCGACAGTGCCCGGCTCGCGGGCGCCGCAGAAAGGCTTGGCTTAGTCTGACTAAATGGGTGGGCTGGGGCCAGGGTTTGGTTTGGTTCCTGGCCAAAATGGTTACATATTTCTGTTTAAGTCGCTGCCTTTACTAGAGTGATTATATCTGCAGTATCTTAAGCTGCAGTGTGTGCGTGTACGTGTGGACGCACACACTCACATGCACGTGCGTGCTTTAAAGATTTGTGTGCCTCAGGCCTGTTTAAAAGCAACTTTATGTTTGGGAGAAAGCAGATAAATCCGAACCATGCAATCAGACAGTTTGGAGAGCGGGAACTTCGGCCAGTCCAAGTGGTGGGGCTGATCTGGCTGACCCTGGTTTGAAGCCTTGCGACCGGGCAAAGTGCTCACAAGCCGCAGTGGCAGAGGGAGAACATCCCTGGCTGCTCACCCCGCTCCTCTGCCTGGGGACGGTCACTCCCAGTTCACCGCTCCTGATGGAGAGGAGCAGGTCTGGGCTAAGCCCCGGCGTGACCTGCTGGTTAATGGTTGGACAGCGTCCCTCTGGGTCTCAGACGCCTCGTGTCCCAGCTGCATCGGGGTGAGCGCCAGGGATGTTTGGATGGTGCTGGTGCCGTACGATGTTCCTGTAAATGCTGATTTTTTTACGTCTGTGCCGGTGTGACATGTATTTGTATACACGTATTTGTATTTTACATGATCACAAGCCAAATTGCAATCCTCCCTGTCTGTCGGGACCGCCGCTTGCTGGGGAGCCCTCGAGTCGGAGGGGTCCCGGTGCGTGGGGGTGACACGGGGCAGAGCCATCGGCGTTGCTGGCAAAGCATTTCTTCACCCTCCTGCTGCTTCGCTCTCGCGTTGGCCCAGCTCCCCCCATCAGCCCTGCTCTCCGCGCCGCAGCTGGCTGTGCCCGTGAGCCTCTGCTCCACCAAAGGGAATATTTTATTAGCGCCACTTGAATTCCCATCGCTTCTTCCCTTCTGATCCTTTTCCTTTCATCCCCCTGGGGCGCTGGGGGTGGGAGTGGGCTGCTGGGCTTGCTCGGAGATGATGTGCTGCCTCTGCCTCACCAGGTATCGCTGGTACCAGCGCGGGGACATTCTCTAATATTGTGTCGGAAATATTCTGTCTGCCGCTGCTTCCTTAGATAAGCAGCAGGATGGGGTGGATGGTGGCACCGGCTCTGCAGTGCGAGCCCAGCGTGCTCTTTCC